TTATCCAGCGGATATTGGCAATTTGGTCTCTCGTTCCTCTCCCTTTTCTAAACCCAGCTTGAACATCTGGCAGCTCTTGCTCCATGTATTGCTGGAGTCTTCCTTGCAGGATCGTGAGCATTACCTTACTGGCATGAGAAATAAGGGCCACTGTACGGAAGTTTGAGCAGTCTTTCGCATTTCCCTTTTTTGGTATGGGGATATAAGTTGATTTTTTCCAGTCTGATGGCCATTCTTGTGTTTTCCATATTTGCTGGCAAATGGCATGCATCACCTTGACAGCATCATCTTTTAAGATTTTAAACAGTTCAGCTGGGATCCCGTCGTCTCCTGCTGCCTTGTTGTTAGCAATGCTTCTTAAGGCCCATTCAACCTCACTCCTCAGGATGTCTGGTTCTAATTCATTCACCACACCGTGAAAACTATCCTCAATATTATTATCCTTCCTATACAGATCTTCTGTATAGTCTCGCCACCTTCTCTTGATCTCTTCAGCTTCTGTTAGGTCCCTGCCATCTTTGTTTCTTATCATACCAATTTGTTTCTTATCATACATGATAAGAATTTGTTTCTTATCATACATGAGTCTACACTGACCATATACTGATGTTCCAAACTGCATTATATGGCAGTGTATAGATCATGGAATAATGTATACAAAATTCATGTAAAAATGAAATATTTTCAAATGTGAGACAGGACAAAAATATTATTTACTGTCTAAACACATTAAAACCAAGCTAGGTAGCAGCACATGTTGCAAGTCAAAGGCAATCCATGGAAGAAGCAGCCCAGAAGGAGATAAGAAACTTGGAAATAGGGTGAAATCATATTGGAGACTTTAAAAGTGTAAACTTTCTTACGAAAGGAGTTAGCACTTTCCATCTGAACCATCTGAAGGCATATTTGGTTGTGCATTCAGTTGCTCCATATTCATTTGTGCACTCAGATACATTTATATTAATGCCCACTGCATTGCCATTTGACCAAGCATTCAGCAGCACAATCAATGTGCATATTCCCAAATGGCGATATACGTAGCAATTGAAATATAAGATCTTGGATTATATCTCTACCTACAGACACATCTACACTGTAGAATAAATGCAGTTTGACTCCATTTTAACAGGACTCAGTGCTATGGAATTTGGGGAGTTGTAGTTGGGGAGAGAAGGCTAAAGACCTTGGAAAATGACAGTACCCGGGATTCTATAGCATTGAACCCTGGCAGCAGAAGTGGTGTCAAACTGCATTTGTTCTACAGTGTAGATGCACAACGTACCTATGGAAATGTCTGGGTTTATAGAATTAAGAACATAATAAATGAGTGAGCCAGCATGGAAGACTGGGAGATGCTCTGACTTCTCAGGAAACCATTAAAGGATCAGCCTCCTCTGCAAACGAAATACAAAATGGGTGTTTCCCAAAGGTTCTCAGACACTCTTTTAGATAACACTGGAAGCATCATCACCATGTTTTAGCTTACGTGGGCCATTAACAAGACTTGAACATAATCAATTTATTGTGCATTTTCTATTCTTTAAAAGACCAATTCTAGGCTTAAATTGGCCAGCTACCTCTCTGAGGTGAAGATGATAATGATGGTGATGATGACGACAACAACAAGAACAACAAGAACAAGAACAACAACTTTATTTTGTACCCTGCCTCCATCTCCCTGAAGGGACTTGAGTTGGCTTACATATGGCACAAAATGCCTCCAGCCACCCCATCCATCTCCAAGAGGAGATTTTGGAATATTGTGTCCAATTCTGGGCACCACAATTGCAGAGAGATATTGACAAGCTGGAATGTGTCCAGAGGA